GTTTTAAGTATTCCTGGTGTCCGAGTAGTATAAAAAACACCTACTTGAACTTTTTGAAAATGCAGCGCAGGCTGTGTCCCTGGGCCAGGCTGCCTGACCAAACGTGAGGGTAGGAAGGAGGACTGTGGCTCTGGGCAGGGTGGTATATTGGAATTTTGCAGTTCTGGATCAAGTTCAGTCTTCATACTGCCTGTGCTGTGCTCTGACGTATAGTTGGGCCAGACATGGTCTGCAAACTCTAGTCCACTTTGCAGAAGGCCTCTATGCCATGAAATGCAAAATGGCACATTTCTAGAAATTGGGGAAGCTGATTTTGATGAATGTCTCGCTCAAGAACTACTCCTGCTGCTTCTTCCTGACACTCTGCCTCACTGCTTAGTCTGTCATGCCATGAGAGTCCCCGCCATATCACAGAGAAAGCTTCTGTATGTGCATTTTTATTTTATGTTTGGGTTTTTCCTTACTGTCTCCCTAAAGGAAGAGAAAAAACCACCCCCTCCAGTGCCAAAGAAGCCAGCCAAGTCCAAATCCCAACTGAACCGGGACAAAGTCTCTGATTCAGACAAGCAGCGCCAGGAAGCTCGCAAGCGTCTTATGGCAGCCAAGCGGGCTGCCTCTGTCCGGCAGAACTCGGCCACAGAGAGCGCAGATAGCATCGAGATCTACGTACCCGAGGCACAGACCCGCCTTTGAGCAAAGGGGCAGAGGAAGGAACCGTGTGGTTTTTATAAGTCATTAAAAAGGAAAAAAAAAAAAGGTTCTCTCTAAACTAGTGTGATTTATTCAGTCTAGAGACAATGAGCCATCCTTGAAAAGGGCTCCTGAGTTGGCTTTTTTCTCTCAGCTTTAAGTAATGAAGATTTTAAAAAAAAAAAACAAAAAACACACAAACAAACAAAAAAAGAAAAAATACCCCTTGTTTTCTCACTGGCTGTGGTGTTGCTGAATGGACTGAACAGACTCCTGGAAACTCCAGCCCCTCAACTTGGAACTTCAGTCTTTTTACTTGTTCTATCTAATGAGAATTATTAGCTTGTTTACAAGAAGAGGACAAGAAAACATGAAGCCTTGAGCACTTGCCATGCTGTGTTCTTCCTCCTCCTCAGTTCTGTTCTTACTTCTCATTCTTTAATTTTTTCCTCCTGCTTCCTTTCTCCCACCCTTTGCATGGCTTTGTTTACTGTGTTAGAAATAACCTCTCTTCCACAGAGCTCCTGAAGAGAACACCCATTCAGTGTGTACTACTGTTGCACTCTGCTCGCAAGCAGCCTTTCTTGGGGGTTTTTTGTTTTCCTTTTGATGGGGATATTGGGGGGGGGGGG